AGGCAGTATCCAACCTTTACACTGCTCTACACCATCCCTTTCCGTCCGCTCCCTGCCCGCCCCCCTCCCCTACCCCTCTGGAGTAGGGTATAGAGTTTCCACGAACGTAAAGTGATGTTTACCTTGCTGGTAGATATATTAGTTTCATAACCCCACTGTGGCCTGCGTGATGCACCAGTGTGGCTCACAGGATGAACATACATAACCCCTCTCCGTCTTTAAACATAAAGGGCACAACTAGCTGAACTTTCAAGGTGTTCAAAAGAGAACTTGATGAACACCTTCAAAGGCTACCTGATCAGGAAGCTATTTTTCACCTACGCTCTTCATCATATATACACTTGACCTGCCCCATCCCCAACACTGAGAATACATCACATAGGCTGACGATGTCACCGAAATATATCCCAGCCTGGCTCATCAAAGTCGCTTCTAGCAATTGAATTCATAAACAACTTTGAAAACCAATGGAAAATAAGTACAAATAAACAAGAGTTCCAGATATTGCACATGCAACAGGTTGACACTACACACTGGCTGGCAGTGATGGGAGCGTGCCCTGCCCCCTTTGACGCAAAACAATGGTGGCAGTGATGGGAACATGCCCCGCCTCCTTTGACGCAAAACAATGGTAACAGTGATGGGAGCGTGCCCCGCCCCCTTTGACGCAAAACAATGGTAGCAGTGATGGGAGCGTGCCCCGCCCCCTTTGACGCAAAACAATGGTGGCAGTGATGGGAACATGCCCCGCCTCCTTTGACGCAAAACAATGGTGGCAGTGATGGGAACATGCACCGCCCCTTTTGACGCAAAACACTATGCTCACTCAGGACTACTGTGACGTCCCAACGCGTCCGGACGTACTTGAAGTGGGCTACATCTCTTTGCTTGGTTCACTCCAGCTCCTCTCTTCTCTTGGAACATTTTAATCCCTATGGTCATTTAAGCCTGTGGTCCTGCTGGGCCACACAGCCTTTTCCCTCCAGTTTGATAATGGTAAGAAAGTAGAGCAGAAATTGTAACCCTTCGCGAATGTTAATTTAAAGAGTAATATTTGTGTCAATTACCACGTCGTTACGGCGCCAGATGCGTGATTAATTTGTTCATCAGTAAACAAATTTGTTGACAGTTTACTTGTAGACCACTTTATTAATTTACGATACATGGCTTTCAATTTGTATTCATCATTATCGTTCATCACAACCATTCGATATAATTAATCTGTCACCATTCGATATGATTAATCTATCACTATTCATCACTATAATCCGTCATCATTGACCTGTTTACATTCATGGATGGTGAGGGGGCTTGGTCTTTGGGTAGGGGAGGGGGTAGTGTGTATGGCTCCCCCAGTCTACCATCCACACCTCTTACCATGAGATGCCGGCTCCTGTGGCGCCAACACACCCCTACGATAGGCTACGGGCTCACCATAGCCCGTGTTACTTGGAACTTTTTGTTCCAGGTAGCGAATCTTTAACAACAACAACCCTACGATAAATTACCTCTGGAAATACAAGTAAACTCTGACTTAAACACCATCTTAATAATAATAATTTAGTTTTTAAAATACACATAAGAAGGCGATACAGAAACGGAATTATGGTACAAGAATGGCATGTTCTACGCACCTCGGTTGGTGCCATCAACCTTTACGCTTCTCAGCAAGGTCTCTCCACCTACGTGCAGGAGCACGTAGGTGGGAGCTTGGCAGGTACTGCTCCTGAAAAACTGGGGTACGAAGCAACACTAGGCTGTCAAGTACAATGTATGTGGGTGAGGCATGTCTGGTGCTGGGTACTCCGCCCCTGCTCCTGCATCTCTTCATTTTCTTCACCCTTCTCTTCCTCCTAAGAAGACAATTCACAGGTCTAGATGTTCCAATTAAGTTACTCTTGCAAAAGTTTTGACAGTGGTAAATGCCGAACTTCTGCCGACGACACAACTTTCGATATCACAGGCAAAGATTGAGACTTCCTTAACAGCACAGGAAATGTTGAATTAAGCAAACTTCACCAGTGCGTTGCAGTCAACAGACTTTTTCTTGATATTAGCAAGACTTCCTGTATGACATTGCGCAGACTCTGGAACAATTTTCCGGCGAGAATTTTAGCAATTAACGGGACAGTCTTAACTGTCCTCACACCCGCCACTTTGTGTAGTTATTGACAACGAACTGAGCTGGAAGTCGCACTTGATCTTCTTGCAGGCAAAAGGAACAAGAACAGGGTGAAGGAACAGTGCCCAACCCCTTTGACCACTCCGGGGATTGAAGGGTGACCGAGAGGGAGAAAGGAGAAAATTGTAACTAGTAATGTTTCATAATAGGTTACACTCCTACATCGCCTGTGATTGAACCATACTCTCATTCAACGTTTTACAGCAAACATTGAATGCCCTTGAAAGTGCCCTTAAAATATAAATGCCTATTGTGAGATTTATGTTCTCACAAGCAGAGACTACGATTATGAAACGGATGTGACGCTTGGGTTGAATATACTTTAATAATAAAAGAGGCAGCGCCAAATTTCAGAATGCACTCAAGAATTTAATCATGGTGCCTCATGGCATATATTGGTGTGGTTGTCTCATACGGATGACGCCCAGCCGCATTTATTAAGACCAGGCTTCCAGACGCTTTGCTGGGATTAAACAACATTTATTTGGAGTCAGGAAGGCTAGTCTAGTCCTCTGGACACTGATAGAAAAGTCATTCAGTCCATCCAGAAGCTGTTGATAAATTAAAATTATCTCCTATTTTCGCTATCTTGGCACCTTCTTTTGGTAATACTTCGTTTTTCTATAGCTGTCTGTCGATTATCTGGGTGTGACTGACTAGGACAACTGAGGGTCTGCTTATAGGTAAGAATGTTGAGATCTTAAATAAATCCTTGTTGTTTACACATTGTCAAGTGCTTCGAGATATATTGTCTTAATCGAATTAACGAGTAGCGTCTATTGAGAGTACAGCAAGCCTGCGGGCCGCCCCAAAACAACAGCCTGTTGGACCAAGCTCTCACAAATCAGGGGCCAGATTCACGAAAGCACTTACGAACGTGTACATCTTTCCTCAATCTTTGACGGCTTTGGTTACATTTATTTAAAACTTTACAAGCATGAAAACTTCCCATTCAACTGTTGTTATTGTTATAAACAGTCTCCTGGTGCTTGGGAGCTCATTAACTGTTTAATAATTGGAAACAAAGCCGCCAAAGACTGAGAAAAGATGTACAGGTTCGTAAGTGCTTGCGTAACTGCTTCGTGAATCTGGCCCCAGGGCCGGGCTTGGGGAATAGAACTCCCAAAACCCCATCAAGCAGGTAGCAAGCCTCCTTTACCGATGTTAACAGCCTTCCGGCTGGATACGAACAGCAGTTTTACTTAAAAACGAAATAAATTTAAATTGGAAGAGATTAGCAAACGAAAAAGACATGCAATGAGCCAAAGATTATTTTTGAAAGAGCAACACATTGCAAAGAGCTGTGGACAATGAGAACAGCGTGGGCAGATAATGCGAAGCCAATGGTTAGGTTTTTATACTCTAAATTGGACTATTGATGTTGCCCTCTTTGAGACGAGCGAAATTACTGACTTCAGAAATGTCCTCAGAATATTAACCTACAGATTCACATTTTTAAAATACGCTTGTTACAGCGTCAAAGAGTTTCCATAAATTAATCCATTCCAGCAGACCTTTCGGAAATAGTTACAACTATTTAAAGATATTCTCAGGAGAGCATGTAAATTTAATATAATATATCTAATCTAATCTGCCCGAAACGCTGTGTGTACTAGTGGCTTTACAAGAAGGTAAACACACCATGCTATGTACTCTCATCAACCCAATATACCTTCTTGTATATAAATAAATAAATAAATATATCATAATTTCTAATTGTAAACCTAAAATTTTTTTTTATTCCAAATCAGAGATCAAGCGTAATGATCTCTCCTTGTGGCCACTTCCTACTGCCACAGATTTAGAATTCAAACTAAAATTTAGATTGAATTCAATTGAATAGACAGATTTAGTCTATTCAATCGTGTACAAAACTTAGCCTAGGTTTTAATGCAGAAAACAAGTGACAATAATGGAGCAGAAAGCATGTGTTTGCTGGGTTATAGCTGTTAATATATAGGACATACTTTTCTAAGTGTTTGACATTAAATATACTAGGGATATGTAGAGCACACAGAGGTGTACATACATAGTTTACCCAATAACTGAGTTATGTTCAGGAGTAAAGTATTCTTGGTGATTGATGAAGTAGTTGTTATGCAGGCGTTAATAACCGACCAAAGGTTGATGGACCTTAACCCCAACATCAGTCCAAATAAGTGAGAGTGGTCGGGAATAAAGAGAGGAAGAGAGGGGGGTGAGGACGAGGATAAAATAAGAGGCAAGTCGACAGAGAACCAGAACGGTGTCTATAATGATCTCATTAACAAGCCAACCAGGGGATACGCTGCATTAACCACCCTCCTCCTCTTCCTGCGCCCTCTCACATTTACTCCTCTTTTTTCCCATTCTGTATTATGGTGTCTATCATATATACGCCAAAAAATCACAAAAATTGTGAAATGCAAAATCCACAAAGAAATCTCTTAAGCCTGTCCTCATGTCCAAGCTCTTAACCTCTTCTCGTGTCCCAGCTCTTAACCTTTCCTCGTGTCCCAGCTCTTAACCTCTCCTCGTATCCCAGCTCTTAACCTTTCCTCGTGTCCCAGCTCTTAACCTCTCCTCGTGTCCCAGCTCTTAATCTCTCCTCGTGTCCCAGCTCTTAACCTCTCCTCGTGTCCAAGCTCTTAACCTCTCCTCGTGTACCAGCTCTTAACCTCTCCTCGTGTCCCAGCTCTTAACCTCTCCTCGTGTCCCAGCTCTTAACCTCTCCTCGTGTCCCAGCTCTTAACCTCTCCTCGTGTCCCAGCTCTAAACCCATCCTCAAAGCTCTTCCAAGTGTTAAGTAGTCATGTAACTCTTTCTCCTTGCCTTACAGGTGGAGGCGAGGGCGGCGGTGGGTGGAAGGAGGCTCCCGGTTGGTGTGGGCGTGAGTGTGGGCGTGAGTGTGGGATGATGGGCGGTGTGTGGGCGGGACTTGGTGCCTGCACCCTTCTAGTCCTCTTGGTTGGCCCAATCAACACCTTGGCTGCAACGTGTCAGTATTAAATACTGCCTCTCTTAGAGCTATAAGTTTATTGAAATATATAACTTGTTACTGAGCAATTAGACTCTTAAATTAGAACTGCTATAGGGAATGACTTAATAATAAATGAGTAGTTAAATAAATATGATCCCCTGATGATAATTAAGAAATATATTACTAAAGATGAGTTATATTACATTAGTTATTGCATACGACAATTTGTATTGCTATTTTTATGTATCAGTTGACGATTTATCAGTAATTGGAATTTAAAAAAAAAGCTGTAGTCTAGTCAGAATTTTCACGAGGAATCAATGGCTTTAATGACTTTAATTCTTTGGATCACAGTGCCGCCACGGTTGAGCTCCAAGGATAGTGAATTACGATTAACAGAAGGCCAGCAAGCTGCCGTGGTGGAATGCTCTTTAGACGTTGGTGATGACCCTATTACGTACCGCTGGCTCAAGGTAATTCTCACGCACTCTACATGTTGGTGATGATCCTATTACGTACCGCTGGCTCAAGGTAATTCTCACGCACTCTACATGTTGGTGATGACCCTATTACGTACCGCTGGCTCAAGGTAATTCTCACGCACTCTACATGTTGGTGATGACCCTATTACGTACCGCTGGCTCAAGGTAATTCTCACGCACTCTACATGTTGGTGATGATCCTATTACGTACCGCTGGCTCAAGGTAATTCTCACGCACTCTACATGTTGGTGATGACCCTATTACGTACCGCTGGCTCAAGGTAATTCTCACGCACTCTACATGTTGGTGATGACCCTATTACGTACCGCTGGCTCAAGGTAATTCTCACGCACTCTACATACTGTACATGTACATGTATTGTATGTATGCAATAGGATCACCAACATGTTGGTCCATGGGTAGCTGATAGCTGAGTGGACAGCGTTCTGGATTCGTAGTCCTGAGGTTCTGGGTTCGATCCCCGGTGGAGGCGGAAACAAATGGGCAGAGTTTCTTTCACCCTGATGCACCTGTTCACCTAGCAGTAAATAGGTACCTGGGAGTTAGACAGCTTCTACGGGCTGCTTCCTGGGGCTGTGTAACAAAAAGGAGGCCTGGTCGAGGACCGGGCCGTGGGGACGCTAAGCCCCGAAATCATCTCAAGATAATTCAAGATAACATTGTTCCTTTGGCTCTTGGAAATTCACGTCAATGCACCATTTTGCTATACAGTACAGTATGTTTACCAGTCACTAATATTAAGTTGAGGTTGCAGGTAATTATAGCATTTATAATCAGGAACCTTAAAGCTCCTGCATTCCTGTTACTCCTACTTTAATAGTAAGTAATATACTGTTTATCATTGGGATATAGAATTATAGAAATACTGTATTTGAAAATAATTTTTTTTTAATTTTCTTTCCAAATGACAGTTCAAAATATATAATACTGTACGTATATGGAACTAATGTTTTAAATAAATTCCATATTCCTTTGAATGTATAGAATTTCATAATTAAATTCTGATAATATATTATCAGTTCCTCAACTTTGTTTAAAGACTTTGCCCATATAATTGCATTTTCCTTGCAGAATGTAAGGGGGAACGCAAATAAATATGGGTAAGTGAAGTAAAATACTTAAAATTATATAAAATATAATATTTTGCTTGAATATGTTTGCGTGTAATGCTGCCACATGCTTCAATATTATTATAATTACTGTAATAACTTTACTGTATATGTATAATAATAATCTTTTATGTGGTAATAATAGTGCAATGTCAAATCTTCATAATTGTATGGATTTATAAACAGACCCCAAAGCTCTTAAATTTCCTAAGAGAAAACATCAATTGATGTGAGGCTTCATCTAAGGCTTAATCAGGATACATTCTTTTACTTATTTAAATATATATACAAGAAGGTACAATGGGTTGTGAGAGTACATATGTGAGTGATTAATTAGTACACTAGCTAAGAAACTAGCATGCATAGCGTTTTGAGCACAACTAATGCTCTGATAAGCTCATACCTCTCATTACTGATTCGACAGTAAAAGATAACTGCAAATTAACTCAAACTGTTCCCGTCCTTATTTGCCTCTCATCATTTAGTATTTTATTTGATAACTTCTTCAAACTCCAAGTCTTGTTTTATTCAGTAGTGATTGCTCATTGTGTGCAGCCAAGGGCAGTAGCTGATGAGTCCCTAAATATAAATTCCCAGGTTGTAGTATTTCTCTCATGTCTGTGTAATGGCAATTCTGGCATTGATAATTTCTCCAACCAGATAAATGCTCAAGTGCACTTGACGACAACTATAATTAGCCACATTCTAAACATGCAGTTATAAATTATTATTGTGACACATGCTGATGATATATTTTTCTCAGAATCAACAATTGGTTACCGGAGCCCTTGGGTATGCCTATCGAGGATACCGTAAAGTCCTTCTAGCATTCCATACTATCCAGAAGCAACACGCTGGCACCTACACATGCGAAGCCTCTAATAAAGCTGGAGTTCATTCTCATACCATAAAGGTTATTGTTGGTAAGTAAAGAACAGTAGTGTTAAAATTCTGTCTGGTATTACATTTGTGGGATCATTTCATTAAAATGATTTGTCTGCCAGTAGTAATTGGAGACCTGGTTGTAAACAGATTGGCAGGTCATATTCCAGGGAAAATTAGTAAGTGTAAGGCTTATGATGAGCTATGGGATGTGAAAGCTCTAATCTTGCTAGTAACAAGTCTGTTATTGTAAAAATATAACATAGCATAGATTGCTAAAAGTAAGAGCACAAAACATACACAGTACCTTGCAGTGATTCCGAGGATCAACGTCCCGGCAGCTCGCGCCTCCGGATTGGTGGTCTGGTCACAATGATTACATAATCCTGTTGCTGCAGTAGTTGGCAACATTGAAAATCATCTTCAAACAGTAAATCATTAAGGATTTAATAATTTCTTTAAAAATTGCTTTGTTACTACATTACTTCAAGACCCCTATATGCTATTGTATTTTAGTTACATGTACCTGTACAGTATAATATGTGGCTTTTGGCATCCAAGTCCCTTGGCCACTGTTCTGTTGCCAGTGCGGTACTGCTAATAAATACATTTCCATCTAGATTTAATTCACCTATCATAAGAAAGGTTAAACTGCAGTTGTACAAATACAAGGAGCACTGAACTTTATAATATTTTCTTTTCAGAAAGTGCTGGAGTTACTCACACGAAAGATGCTGACTTACCACATACTGATGAAATTCTCAGTAAGTATAGTACACTACTGTATATATATACTTTATTAGCAAATACTTGACAAAAACTGCATATTTATTAATATAATATTTATTATACTGTATTTGTGTTTATAATGTAATGTTTCATTTATTAATCTAGGTAAATAATTGTTTTAAAATTATTAAATTTAATAAACAACCCAACCTACACACACAACAAAATAAAAGTTACAATGTTTAGGTTCATCCTCGACTCTTAGCATATCACTACTTAATAAGAATCTAGGATGGACCAAAACGTCATCTTCAATTTCATTTCATTTCATTTCACATGTGTGGGTTGGAGTAGGTGTTTCAACCACATTATTAAAACTTCTCTGCATATTACAGTTTAACCATTAGTCTATATCATTCAATTTAGAGTGTGTAAGGTTGGGCTTGTAACCCTTCCCCTTTAAACACTATTTTGAACATTCTATGAATTGGCAGAATGACTTATCAAAATGGTTTATGACTATAAATTTTCATCTCTGAAATTTTTAGGTGCTGTTGAAAGTAAGCACCGGGTACCTGTCAGGAGGGCCTCCCAGAAATCAAGCATTGAACGTAATGAAATTCCCTTTCCTAGTTGGCCTTCAGTAGCTCCCTGTTTTTTTTTTTTTTTTTTTTTTTTTTTTTTTGAGATATATACAAGAGTTGCTACATTCTTGTACAGCCACTAGTACGCGTAGCGTTTCGGGCAAGTCCTTAATCCTAAGGTCCCTGGAATACGATCCCCTGCCGCGAAGAATCGTTTTTTCATCCAAGTACACATTTTACTGTTGCGTTAAACAGAGGCTACAGTTAAGGAATTGCGCCCAGTAAATCCTCCCCGGCCAGGATACGAACCCATGACATAGCGCTCGCGGAACGCCAGGCGAGTGTCTTACCACTACACCACGGAGACTGCTTTTGCCTTAATCACTTCTTTCTCCGTGAGATGATTGGGATTCAGTACTAGAACTTGTGAACAAGTTTAGTGGCTGGTTGAAACCCAAGTGACCTGAGTCACCATCTGGTGTCTGCTGTATACATAAAGGTCAGGGTTGTTCACCAATAGCGACAATTATTTGCCTCGCTTGCTACAAGCAGTAGCTTGTTTTGTTTTGCCTAAACATTCTGGTAGACCTTTATTGGTTTTGATTATAGTCTCTGAGCCCCATGTGCCTCATAGAGGGAAGAGCAAGATTCTGGTCCTGGCTTCAGTTAGGTCAGTGTGGTGCTTTGCTTAATGCTTTGTAGCACCAGTTTGTAAGCTCCTGGGAACTACTGACAGCCCACCAAAAAAAAGATGTTTCATTGCATTCAGTGCTTGATGTTTGCTTATCCACAACTATATATGAGAAGAAATACTTTCTCATATCTCCACCTGGAGATGAAGTGATACCACATATCTCAGTTAGCTGTTGTTTCTTTGATACACATGTTACCATATGTTTCTTATTTTCCTATTATGTTCCAGAGTTGTAATCTCTGCTGTATAGCCTGTGTGTTTCAGAGTGTGTGTGTGTGTTGTTCCAATGATTGGAACATATAATTACAGTAAAGCTTTTGTATCAAGGTGAAACCACATTTTTACTGAAGTACTGTACATTACTATTTCTGTTGTATAATTTTTCATGTTTAGTTTGCTTAAAATAATGCAGTCTATAATATTTCTGTATAGGTAATATTGCAACATCCCTGAGTGATGTGTTGGCGGAGGGAGATTGTGCATGCGACACCCTCTTCTTCCTGCACTCATCCGCTGATGCACCTCCCGAGACCCTTGCAGCCCAAGCTAACTTGGTACACACAATTGCAGATAGCATGTGAGCATGTGATTTCACTTTAATAGATTTGTTCAAATTAACTTGACATATTTAGTACCAGTCATTTTTTTTATTATGAGATACTTTGTCCTTTTTGTGGAGGGCTTCCTTTGGTGGATTCCTGGAGCTAGTCGGGTGGCTAGGTCAGAAGGTCATCACGGGGCACCCACCAGAAAGAGGCATGTCATTACATTCAATGATGAATTTTTGTTTTTATTGTTCTTACGTTAGTTTTCTGTATGAATCAGTGATGGTTTGATGGTATGCATGCTTAAAAAAATCCAAATTTGTTTATATGATTTTTCTTAATTAATGAAGTACCGTAATTAATGTTTCTAACTTAATGTTATAGTATTTCAGAATCCACCAGAGTAAGTGTGCTTACATATTCAGACTATACTACCAGCAAGTTATCACTTGGAGAGGGGGTCCATCGTTGTGCTCTGCGAAATGCATTTGCTGATCTGTCTCACCAGACGTGGGCTACACGCATTCAACCAGTTCTCAGGGAGGCATTTAAGAAATTTAGGAAATCCAAGGCCAACTGTAAACTTATGTGTGAGTGTAACTGTGTATAGATTAAGCATGATAGTAATGAAGTATATTGATAAATTTTGATCAAAGAACTTTTAACTCTGGCAGGAATATTCAAAATTTAATCTATAATTGAAGCTTTATATTCTACTCAAGCTGTAGCATATTGCTGTACCTTGTTCACGTGTTGTGGTCCCCATTCATCTTTGATTTTGTGAGATTGGACTCTTTCCTAGGATGTTGCACTTTGCTGCTATGCCCCTTCTCTGGTGCAGTCTCTGGGGTTGTTTGGGGCTTTGGAACTACTTTTTATGGGGTTTGGGGTTTGCAGGGATTCAGATAAGTCTTAACAGGCTTCCTGTCCCCAATTATGACAAAGCATAAAATGAGTAATATGTTTTTATATACCAGGAAAGTTCTATGAAAACAAAACTCCAAATTGCTATTTGTTAACCCCTAAGCTGCTCTGGCCTATTTGACCTTCAACACCCACAGGCGCAAAAAAAAAAAAAAAGCATTGAATGTAATGAAACGCCATTTTTGGGTGAGACCCGGATGCTCCCCGGAGCTATCCAGGCTGATATTGCTAATGTCGGACTTTGGCATCAGTCTTGTGTATGGAGTTCTTTGGGCCTACCGAGGACCACGAGCTAGAACCTGGCCTCCTCAGATAGGCACGAGGAGCAATGGCCTATAGAAACACCCGTGTGGTTGGAAGCATTCTATGTCTGCCATTGACTGGGTCAGGCACCCAGGAAGATAAGCATCCCAAAACAAACCCCTATTTTGGTTAAGAAATTGCTACTGAGAGCCAAACTAGTGGACAGAACTCTCCAAACAAAAACGAGCTAACAAGCATGACGTCACCACGTCACTGTGCCATCATTTGCGCAGCTCCCCCCGAGAGCCCCAGACCCCTCGCGCCAGCTTCCCAAGATCCCAGTTCTGAGGCTGGATATCAAAACACGCGAAAAACCGCCGACTGGAGGGAGGGAGGGTTGACGGGGAGAGTCTGGGTCTCACCCAGAAAAATGGCATTTCATTACATTCAACACTGGGTTTCTGGGGGGGGACACCGTCGGCTCCTAGGAGCTACAGTACCTACCAAAAGACGAAAACATGAGGGACACACCCGGGACGCGGTCGTCGCTTGCCTCCGACGCGAAGCCGAGACTACAGGCTGCAACCGCCATCTCAAGACCACACAGGCTCAATGAGGTCCAGAAACATCAACAAAGGAACACGCAGTGAACGTACGAACGTCATGGGCATGGAGAGATACTGCAGGCCGGGTGGACCGAACCACCCTGCGGACGACCTGAAAGAAACACACCCCGGAACAGGGAAGAAGGGAAACTGAAGCAACTCAAAGCGTTATCATGGGCACAGTGGCCGCGGCATGCAAAAAACGGCGAAGAGCCGTAACCGCACACAACACATGATGCATCCCTGGCCAGACCAACCAAGCATCAACAACCCAAGGACCCCTCGGGAAAGCAGCCACCACAGTCTTCACCAGAAAAACTGGAGACTGCAGCAAGCGAACAACCGAACACGAAGGACCAAAGGAGCAGAAACCCCTGCACCGAAGAAGAGCACGAAGCTCCCTGACCCGACCCCCAGAGGCTAATGCCAACAAGAAAAGAGCCCCAGAAAACAAACCAGAACCGATGGGGTCACAACAAACCGAGGAGGAGAGAACAGAGCACCCAATCCAAGGACCAGGACGGCTCAAGCAGTGCATGAAGAAGCCGGAGGTGAACCACGCAAGAGACAGCTTGCGAATTGGTGCAGAGAGAAACCAAAACCGAAAACAAACCGGAGCAGCTCCACCAGCGCTGCACGACATAAGGCAACAGTATGTGGCAAGATGACGGACCTGTACCTCCACAAGAGAAGGACAAGACCACGCCAACATAATGCAGCATACCTACGAAGAGACAAAAAGAAAAAGGAAAGGCCAGAAAAAAACCCCATTCCGCCACCGAGACGAAGCACGCAGGTGGGACACCATCAACGAAGCCACCTGAACATCAACAGATGGTGAGAGACTCTAGGCAGAAGTACCAGACTGGACGACTCGATGAGTAAACTGAACCAGCCCCGCCTCGGACTGGAACGAGCATGGGAAGAGGCGGAGCCACGGGAAAACCCCCGGGTGCGAACACCGATCAAGCAGAGCCAGAAACCTAGGCCAGCAAGGAACCAGATGGAACGTCTGCCGTACAGAAAACTTCCCAATGCTAGCGAGCTCGTCAGGTGATCGGAAACACTATGGTTCCGACGCGAGACTCGTGAGAAGTGTCACCGTGAGAACAGGACTGGGCCAACTGGCAGGTTAAGCCAGGAAACCAGGAACCCAAACTCGGCAAGCCGGGAAAGAACCAACCCGGGCGAGCAGACACGCTCCGTCTGGGAGGAACACCCCCGAGACCCCTGAAGGACCAACAAGTCCAACAACGGATGACAATAAGAAGTCGCTCATAGAAAAACACCGAACCACAGACGCCGCAAACAGCAAGGATAAAAACGTGACGAAAATTGAAGAGCCAGGGCCCAGGCCGAGGCCAACGAGGAAGCGAGCATCTCGAGCTGAAACGTGAAGCGAAAAACGGTGATGCTGCATCCCGCAGGAGTGGTGCACCCAGCCCCAGCAAGGCAGAATGATGCTGAGTTAAGTATGAAGAGAACTAACCAGGACGGGAACAGCACGAAAACATAAACATACCGTCTGAAAGGGAACACAAAGAAAAGGCTGGAGCCAGGATCGGGAAACCTAGCACTTCCTGGCCCAATGAAAAAAAAACGTAGGAGCAGGAAAGGAAGAACAGAAGCCACCACCACCTGCAAACAGGGCAACCCAGAAGCTGGTGGTGACATACAAGGAGAAGATGAAAGAACACAGGACCATAACTGAACACAGGGGCTGTGCAAAAGCTGAGAACTGAACATGGACAAAGTTCATCCTAGCATGAAAAGTAGTGTAGCCAATATGCACATATGAAAACACACAAGCTATCACAAGAAAAGACTTGTGATAGCTTGGTATAACAGGCTGTTGCTTGGAGCGGCCCTCAGTCTCACATATCTGTTATAACCTGTCTGATCCATCACTTCTTGCAGGAATTTATCTAGTTGCTTTTTTTAACATGATTAAGTTTGTTACTGCAATATTTCTTATATATTCACGTCATAATATCCAGAGCATAACAATCCATGTCACAACTACCAAATTGACAGCACTACCTTACAACAGAGAGATGAAGAAAAGGACCTTGGAGTCAGAATCCATCATTCACTAAAAGTTGCACGACAAGTGGGAGCGGCAGTAAAAAATAAGCGAACCAAACCCTGGGAATAATCAAGCATACCTTTACCTTCAAGGGAAAGAATTTTTTTATTCACATTTAGGTACATCTGCATTTGTGCAGCTACCCTAGACTATATGAAGGGGTGTACAGTGTGTCAAAAAGCTAGCTACGTGATGCTAAAATCCCCATCACACAGGATGGTTAGTCATACAGAGGCATGTGATAAGTAGTCTGCACTGGCAAGCTACTTATCACATGCCTTAGTATAGATTTTTTTTTTAATACATTAGGTACATCCAAGGAAAAGAATGTAGTCGTTCAATTGTATAAGTCTCTGGTGCGCCCCCACCTGGATTATTGCATCCAGGCATGGAGACCTCATCTTCAGAAAGATATAGCTGCTCTGGAGAAGGTGCAATACCAGAACACCGGACAACAAAAATCATCCCAGAGTAGTCATCTCTCGTATCAGGAATGGTTGAGGACCACTGGGCTAACAACACTGCAAACCAGGCATGACATGGCGGATCTCATTGAAACCTTTAAAATACTGAACAATTTCGAGGATGTTAATCCGGACAATTTCTTCAAAGGGTCAGATGCAACATGAATGATCGAGGAGCAACAGGTTGAAGCTCAACAAGCCACAATGTAAGACAGAAAACAGGAGATGCTTTTTCACCAATAGGGTTGTAAACCCGTGGAACTGCGTACCCGCCAAATCAGAAAATACCAAAACTCTGCTGGTTTAAAATACAGCTTGAAAAGATCATCAGGGCAAAGGAGGGGTCCTTTGACAAGCCACCGGCTTCCTGTCCTCATTGAGGCCACTCGTATTAGTGGCCTTCAGGTAAATTCAGGTAAGGTAAATACGTTTGGAGGATATTAAATAGCTATAGCCCTGTTGACCAAACCACACACTAAAAAGTGAAGGGACAACAACGTTTCGGTCCATCCTGGACCATTCTCAAGTCGATTAGCTATAGCCCTCTAATGTTTATACAGTTTTCTCTGATTGTACCAGTGGCACCTTAACTCTTTACTGAGTCTATTTTGCACTTTCTACCATATCTTCCACTCCAGTATGCAGTTAGTATTTAGCAGTCCATATTAGGAATTTAGCCTTCCAGTATCTTCATGTATATATAGGGTCTTGTATATGCATATAGGGTCCTATATATATCCTATATCCATGTAGGATATAGGGTCCCGGCAGTACAGTTGGGTTCAATTTCGACGCTCAGTCAAGAATTCCAGGTTTGAATCCCGGGCGGGACAGAAATGGTTGGGCACCTTTCCTTTCACCTAATGCCTCTGTTCACCTAGCAGTAAGTAGGTACTCAGGAGTTAGTCAACTTGTTGTGGGGTTGTATGATGGGCAGGGTCAGTAATTCGGCCTTGGAGGGAGGACCTCGATAAAAGCCAAACGTGTATGAATACACTTTCCTTCCTGTCCCCCGACACAGTGAATTAATTATATTGTGTGATGCCTCTCTTATTTTCTTTCTAGAGAGTATATTTTGAATTCTTTGAGATGGCCTAAATAATTAAGTGCTTTATCATGTCAATGCATGCCTTGTGCCTTGTATGTTCTCTGTGTTCCTTCTATTTCAGAAATCTCTTCAGAGTTGAAAGGAAAATTGAGTACCAAGAAGTACTCAAGGCAAGAAAGCTTAAATTATTTGAATAGTAAGAGCATTATAATGAAATCCTTTTATTTAAAGGTCCTCATAATCCACCCTCTCATATATTTGGTTTTATCCATTATGCCTATTAAAGTTCATGTCATGTGACATCATTACTGTATTCCCAGATAATTTACATGTTATTTTCCTTCTATAAGAAGATCTGATTGTGTCTTGTATCCTGTATTTTATTTAAGTTCTTATTTTTACTGTATATTTTTTTGTAATTAACACATTTAGGTTCGTCTGCTTTCATACAGCTACCCTAAACTATGTGAAGAAGAGTACAGAGTGTCTCCCCTTCATATAGTATAGGGTAGCTGCATATCTGGAATTTGTCACTGTTTGCCCCAGCAACTTATGATCCATCACATGTGTTTTGGAGAGTTTGTTGAGTTTAAACATCAGCTTCTTGTTTATGCCTCTTGTTGTTGGAGCATCGGCAGTAAAAGTTTACAGTACCAGTACTGCTTTAACCTTGGCCCAAAACACACAGTGAATATACTATTAATATGCTACTGCAATATGGTATGGAAAATGCATTGCTACACAGATTACAAAATATTGGAACTATTTACTAATTGTTAGAAAAGGTTAATGGCTATAGTATTCTATTGCATTTCACAATTTACAGTAAATTATATAATATTGCATATGACTTTTAATATTGAGGTATGTAGGCTTGTCTTTAATGAGTATGAGATCTTTATGATATGCATTCCTTAGAAAAGCTAACTGTCACATTATTGTTTTCACATATTAATTAAAATGAATATAAGGCTCAATATAAATTAGACAGAGGATGATATAGGTTATCTATATACTCCTCAGTTTTGCCTGTCCTTGGCTCCCTTGGGACAGAAGGAGCTGATGTGATAGGAGCTCAACAGTTAAAGAAAATTGGTGTGAAGATATTCATCCTAGAAGTGACCCCTGCTCCGCTGGATGGGTTGAAGGAGATGGCTTCCAAACGGGGTGATGGACAGCCTTATCACTGGCGTGTTCCCCTTCATATTTGGTCGACTATTGTCATGTACATGAAATACATGACTGAAGGTGAGGCAGTCATTACATCATTTTACTGGGCCACTTGTAATCAGATATTAGATTGTTATAGTGAAACTTTAGTGTAATTAATAATGTACTTTGGTGTACTATGTAGTTTTTGTAGAATATTTGAAAGTTGCTGCTATAATTTTTGTTTTCCCTCAATTAAAGAGTATACAGGGGACCCGTATAACATGCATTTATATTAAGCTGTTTAAATTGAGTGACCAAAAATTTTAATTACCCGCACTGGTTTTATACAACACACATTCACTGCATGATCTGTTTTCTCCAGCGAAGAGAACCAAGACCTTAGCTTCCTTCTCAGTCCACATTCACCCACTATAACCCACACACACTCACCCACACCTACTCAATCTCGGCCACGTCAACTCTCATCCACATATCCACTCATCCACCCACATTCTCTCTCACACACACACGGAGATACTAAGGAAGATAAGAAACTTTTTAGATTATTGTCTTGCTTTTCAAGAAGATTTGGACAAAATAAGTGTATGAAGCAAATGCTATCTATTGTTAGGTCAAATATTTATAGCTTATTAATATATAGCTTTTAAAGTTTTCAAGGTAATCTTTTAAGACAAGATATTTTCCAAATACAATGTGCTATAATCATTTAAGGATTTTTAGATTTATTTACATTGGTTTTGTTGGAAAATATAAACAAATTTTATGCAGAACTTGTGGGGTGTATGCCCCAGGTGGAGGACGTCCCAGGAAAGTGTGTCAATGCTGGGAGTGAATGCACTAACAGCAGCATGTGCAGCGGTGCAGGCACTGCGTGTCTCGATGACCAGTGTCAGCTTCTAGAGTGTAATGTTAACTCCAGAGGTCCAGGTGAGAAGAATTATATTACTGATCATTTTACCAAGTTCTTGCATGATACAGTATTTTCATGGTGCTTATCGGCATGTTTTCTTTTCTTCTATATTTTCTTTCTTTTTTCTTTTTGACTAATACTGTTTAAAAGAAAAAACTTATGTGCATTGACCATACCATAAAACAAAAATATTGAGCAATTGTTTACTGACGAGGCAGTGGGCAGTGAAGATTAGAGATTTTATTAAATAGAGCTCCAGTTAGGTTTGCTGGTCTCCCGTGTTGCTGCATTTCCACATTGTTGACAACGATAAGATGATTGGAGTCAAAGCACCATAATGTTTAACTTCACATTTTCACTTCTAAACTTAGTTTGAAAGTGACTAACAGAGTATCTCCAAATCTTTGTTGCACAGTGGTGTGTACCCTCGGCTCACAACTGAGGGACTCCAGTTCAGTCCTCGGGCAGGACAGAAAGTTTGGCACATTTCCTTTCATCCAATGTATCTGTTCATCTTGCAGTAAATAGACACCCAGGTGTCAGTCAAATGTTGTGGGTTGCATCCTGGAAAAGGTCAGTAGTTGGTGTAGGGGTACTTTGATAGGCCTAATTATGTACAGGCTTTCTGCCTCCAACAATGAGAAATCTTAAAATTATAGTGAAGCTTTAAATGGTAGCATCAATGAGAGAATTCAAGAAAGGGGTTTAACTACTGGCACTTCTGTTTATGATGCAGTGTAGAGTAGCAGCTTCTTTCAGACTCCTAAGTTGTTCATTGCAAATATGTTATCCACATATTGGCAATATATTCATATTGTGGTTTTCCAATTCAAATCCCTCAATATGACTCATTGTCTGCAAAAATAATACTCTACTAAGGAGGAGGATTCTATAGTTACGACATTGATCTAGTAGGTTGTAAATATATCATTATATTTTTCTCAAGATCTTAGACAAGATGTTGACCAGACCACACACTAGAAGGGTGAAGGGACGACGACGTTTCGGTCCGTCCTGGACCATTCTCAAGTCGACAATCGACTTGAGAATGGTCCAGGACGGACCGAAACGTCGTCGTCCCTTCACCTTCTAGTGTGTGGTCTGGTCAACATACTTTAGCCATGTTATTGTGACTCTTCGCCTGCATCTTAGACAAGATCTTTAGAAGTGAGTATTCTGTACTTATTTAAAGCATATACTGTACCATATTTTCCAGCATATAAGATGCATCTAACTTACAAACATTTTTTTGTGGAATTTAATTTTCACTATGGTTCTTCAAATATTTACTAAAAGGGATTTTCATGTGGTTTTTCAGGGAAAACATGAGTTTGTTCATGTAAGTACAGTACAATACTGTACATATATGGTTGATAGTGGACCAACAACATGCATCCAATATGCTGGAAAATACAGTATCCAGCCTCTTGACCTAGTAGTATTAGGCATCCATCAGTCTCTTGACCTACACGTACTGTATTCTGTGTTGGATAGATAAATAACCTTTGTATCCCATCACCTTTAATAATTTTAATCTAACAATGTAATCTGAGACCAAAATTCACTATTTCACTGTAATGTATATGCAAATCTTCACTGACTTTACTGAATATATATACAAAGTTGCCTACATTGTGTTAATAATGTGCATACAGGAGGTTCATGGCAGGTTTATATGTAATTATAAACAGGATATATGTATTGGATATATATCCTAGGTATTGTTATTCGTACAGGATGTTGTGAAGGTCCGGATCAGCACTGGTGTGGTGATGTCACAAAACAATGTGTGCCTTCTGCCAATGTTTGTGATGGCCATGTTCACTGCATGAATGGTGCTGATGAAGATAATTGCTGGTCAAGTAAGTTGGGCAGAGTGATGCACGTACACCATGATATATGTACACGATGATACACGTATACCATGATACACATACACGATGATGCACATACACCATGATACATGTACACCATGATACACATACACCATGATGGTGTATACACATTAGGGTACCGGGAGGACGGGCACCACAAGTGTAGCTCTCCTCCTGTAACTACACTTAGGTAATTACTTGGGTAATTGCACCATGATACATGTACACCACAATATATGAACGCCATAGTACACACAAAAAAATCAAATCACCTAGCTGCATCAAGAAAGATTTCATTATTCTTGAATATACAGTATATATAAAACTATTTTGTGGTATCTTATGCAATAGATGATAAATATTGTGTCAATTACCAATCTGATCAAATCAGCTTCAAAAAGATTATTAGGAAAATATATTGGAACACTATTCAGGATATTACTTTTAATATTTAGTTTTTAAAATTTTCAGATCCGTGCCCCGATGACAAGGTTGCTCGTTGTCAGAGTAGCACACTATGTTTAGATCTGATGGACCTTTGTGATGGCGTCTTAGCTTGTCCAGGAGGAGAGGATGAAGACCCACGCTTCTGTAGATCCTTTCCCTGTCCAGTAGATAGGCCCTTTAGGTAATTTAAAATCTCATTATACAGTACTCAAGGCAAGAGGGAGAGGCATTACGGAGAGAGATTCGATATATAATTACAGAGTAACCCCTGAAACGATTCATCTATTTAAAAGTACTACATCAAGGTGTGCATGTTTAAAAATAGTTAACAAATCAGATAGAGAAAATAACAAATACCCGATAGTTACTGGAGCACACTAGGATGTTGCAAATAGTAATTAGAACAGTGTTGGGGTTCAAGACAACTAGTTACTACCTTGACCAAGGAACACTTTCATTAGCTTTGTTATTAAGGCAAAGGGATATGAGGCTACTCTGCCATTAGCGATGAATAAAGCATTTGAAGGTGAAGAACATTATAATTATTTCATCCCATCCTCCTAAAATAAAAGTATTTATAGTAACTATTTGGTCAATAGTACCAATATGTTGTGATGGACCACCAGAAAGTTGGTCCATAGAGTAGCAGACATAGAGTACTTTTAAACTACATATAAGGTGTCTTTATAGGCCATTGCTCCTTGTACCTCTCTGAGGAGGCCATGTTCTGGCTTGTGGTCCCCGGAAAACCTAGAACACCATGTACATTGACTGATGCCCAAAGCTTATACAGCCGTATCAGCCGGATAGCTCTGGGGGTCTTCGGGTCTCGCCCAGAAAATGGCGGTTCATGACATTCTGCGCTGGTTTTTTCATAATTCCTCCCACTGAGATTTATCATGTGACACACTCAATACAATACTGATCTAATAAGCTTGTATGTATTACAAGATATTCCTGCCTAGGAATACTTTTCTCCATCATTGCTATGTGATAAAACTGCATAGTTATGTTTACAATGTCATTACTTTATATTTTTTTCTCACAGGTGCAGAAGTGGAAATTGTATTGAATATCGGAGCTTATGTGATGGAGTTTTCAAAGATTGTGAAGAGGGTGAAGACGAAGACCTAGATTTCTGTAGCAACTATCACACCTGTCCTGACACTCGGCCTTTCAAGTGTGACTATGGCATATGTATTGCTGAAAAGATGTTGTGTGATGGCTCATATAATTGTCTTGATGCATCAGATGAATTGGTATGTGCAAAAAGGAGTTGTCCTGCTGAACGGCCCTTCAAGTGCTTAAGTGGTCTTTGTATCAGCATGGATAAGGTACACCTGGTGCTTTTCTTTTCTCTATATCTTATTCCTAAAAGTACATAAAATGTTCTTTTAAAGCTATGCTACTTAATTAGTAACTAGTAGGTATTTAAGCTTATCTTTTTTTAACTATTTGTGCATGCAATAAATAGATGTGGTCAACTCTGCAAAACCTTTTGAGGACAAGCTGATGCACATCTTCTGTAGCGTAAATTTTAATTTGAATGAAGTAGGATGACAGAAAAGACTATGAACTTGTATTGGTGGGGACACAGGGTTTCCTCAAATGCTTTTTTATTTTCACCAAAGTCCCTATTCCAGCCAGAGGCAGTATCCTTCTTGTAGAAAACTCCTTACCATTTGCTGTGTGATGTGCTGTGTCGAACCCTCATGATGGCTCCTACGGATTTTCTAAATCTTAACCTTTCAGCTGTATTGGACACAGTGATGCCTGCTTCCAATAGTCTTTTCTCTGGAACTTAATAACGGTCTCTTTCCTGTCATAATATTAATATTTATACATTTTAATTAAACTTCATCACCCATAATCACCTTAACCCTCAAACCGCTAAGGGCCTTTTTGCCTGAACGCTCACAGGCACAACCAAAAAAATAAAAAATCCAAAAAATTCTTTTGTCTTATAAAAGTGTTAATTTGTGTTCCCTGATCACAGAAAAAAATAACAAAAAAATCATAGGTGGCATATTTTGGTCGCAATAGGCCAGGGAAGTCTGGCAAAAACACCAGCGTTGAATGTAATGAAACGCCATTTTCTGGGTGAGACACGGAGGCTCCCCGGAGCTTACTAGGCTGATATGCTAATGTCAGACTTTGGCATCAGTCATGTATATGGAGTTCTGTGGGACTACCGGGGACCATGAGCCAGAACCTGGCCCCCCCTCAGAGGCACAGGGAGTAATGGCCTATAGAAACCCCCGTGTGGTTGGAAGCATACTATGTATGCCATCGACCGGGTCAGGCACCCAGAAAGTTAAGCATTCCAAAACAAACCCCTATTCGGGTGAAATTATTGCTACCAAAAGTCGAACAAGTGGATAGAATTCCCCTAAAAGAAACGAGCAAACGATCATGACGTCACACATCGCCGCACCGCTGTCTGCGCAGCTACCCCCTCCCCAGGAGGGGGAAGGGGGCCTCGTATGGCCCAATAGGCCTGCTGCAGTCACCTATGTTCCGATGTTCATATATTCGTATCCAAAAATCACTAACTAGCGCCTGGCCGAACAGAAGCCAGACCGCATAAACTCACCTGCAGAACGTAGACACGAACGTGTCATGACACAACTTAGCCGAGAAGATCCTGGGAGCACTGCCAGTGGAAGAAGACAGAGCCGTACATGCAGGAGAAGAGGGTAGAGGCGACGGAGGAGCCCCAGACCCATACAAAGGGAAAACCCCACATCCGCCCCATAGCAGCAATCCAGAACACTTCCAGGAGCTACCGGGTACGGACTGGAAAATGGAGAAGAGCGAGAGGTGAAGTACCCGAGAAAAGAGGGATGCAAAAACCCCAGCTCACATGCACACTGCCATTATCAAAACAAACAACCACGGCGCATGCGCAGTTGGGATGCCAGACGTGGGTCGCCAGAATTTGCGAGCTGAAGAAAGAAACCATGAATGTGACTAGAAAATAGACAAAATAGTGACGGTAATAACCAAAACTCATATGAGAGTACACAGGGCAGCCGCTAACCGTAGTCGAAAAGAGCAGAAAGGAGCGAAAAGAAACACAGCACAGTGTCCCATTTGGGCTACAAGAAGCCCAATCTGGCAACCCTGTGCAGCGCAGGACAGTGCACGGAGAAAAGAGACAACATGAAAAAATGAAACAGGACCAAAAAACGAAAAGCTGCAAGAAGGACCAGCAAGCCCCAGAAAGGACCGGAAGACGACAGACATTCCAGGAATACGGGAAGAAACAAAACCTTCCCGATCCCCCTAGAACATAAAGAAGCAAACGTGAAGCACGAAGGCACGGAAGGCAAAGTCGCACCCGAGACCAAAAGTCATGCAGATCCCCGAAAAGAGGGAAACATGACTGTGAAGGCTCGTCCCAAGATGAAGGGTGGAGAAACGTGCCCACTGACAGGATGGACCCGAGGGATCCAAGGGACGAGGAACCGATCTCGGGGAGGGGCCGACTCCCAAAAACATGCACGGAGATGGGGGGGGGGGAACCCACTCCTCGTAACCGCAAGCCCCGCCCAATGGGTAGAAAAACCCAGGAGGAGTCCAAATGTCAGCCCCGGGAACCCACAAGGCAGGCCCCGGGGCCAAGCCGTTCCCCCCCAAAGCCCCAGCCTCACAAAAAAAGCCTGAGTAACCAGACAATTACTAAGGAAGGGAGCCCACTGGCAGACTCATACAACACGGCTGGAGGAACAGGCTCAAATGCCCCTGTCGCTACCCTGGAAGGGGGAATTCCGAGACCGCCCAAGTCTCAAGACCAGTGAAGCCCCGCCCCGACCCGACCCCCGAACCCACAAACAGTAAGGATCTGGATGCAGGGAGGAAGGGGAGACCATAACAGAGAAAGATCAGGGGGCGCGGAAGTAACAAAACCAAAGGGTCCAACACGCCCAAGCCCCGTCACACCAACCAAAATGGGGAGGCCCCGGGTCTCCCGGGGAGCAAACGACCTGGTATTGTTTCTAGGTGGCGAATGTCAACTATCGGTCATGGCTGCACTATAGCTGCCCCTATCCCACGTGGGGCTTTTAAATTAAAGCGCTAAACACTAAAACTGCTATTAATGTATTGCGCGGTACCGGTTTTGTTACTCAAATCATCTATATATGTACTGTGCGGTCTAAGGGTTAAAGGAAGATTTGACAAAGAATTTGAACATCAGAATAGTCATTGATAGGCATGCATCTTATATTTGCCTGAATTCACCCAAGAGCAACTGTCTCTCTAGGAGCGTTGACAGGGACAGGAAGTTGGCAGCTAGTCAAAGGTGTTCCCCATTGTTCCTAAGGACTGTTTTTCTGTCTGGATTTTGAACTGGAGTTCAGCAACGACTTGGGATTTACGGTTTCAGCGAATAGGCAAGTCCAAGGGCTTATAACCCTATGGGTGAAAATACATCTCCTGTTTTCTGTCCTACATTGTGGTGTGTTGAGCTTGAAGCTGCTGCCCTTTGTATTACATTTGAACTTTTAAATAAGTTGTATGTATTAATTTCATGCAACTTGTTCAAGATTTTAAAGGTCTCGATGAGATCAGCCCTCTCATGTCTGATTTGCAGTGTTGTTAGTCCTTTGTCACTCATCCTTTTCACCTTCCAAGTGTTATATAGTCATAATGGCTTGGTGCTTTCCCCTGATAATTCCCTTCATCCTTTTCAGATATGAGAGTTGACTTAGTGTTTTTTTATCACAGCTCCCACTTTTTGTGCAACCTCCCAGGACCAGTGGATCACAACTCCTAGCCTAGATTCTTTTCTTCATCATTCTGATGCATGGTAGTGTTGCTGATATGATAGTCATGATGTGCATTGTTGTGCCCTACATGCAGGATCTTGTATTTTTCAATATTTAAAAGCATTTGCCACTCTTCTGACCATTTCTTCAGATTTTTTCACTTCATGGAAAGAACCAAGGTCTTTCCATGAAATATTAAGAAAAACTTTCCTAATATATATTTTTTTTAAGTTTTGTTAATTGAGAGTTTCAAAATTAAGACTCGATTGTATAACTGGGGAGTGGTCTGGGATGCCTGCTTTTGTTATCCTCCAACAGACAAATAAACCCACTTTCTTTAATTATACTCCTCTACATTTTTAATTCTTAAGGATTTTATTATTAGGTTTGCAATGGAGCATTTGATGGCTGTGATGATGGGTCTGATGAAAATAACTGCACTGAGATTCCCTGCCCTACTAGTCGAAGCTTCAAGTGTTCTAATGGCATATGTATTGATGGGTAAGTTACTACTCAAAGTAATGTACACTGAATTTAATGTTAAATGTACGACAGAAGCTAGAGAGTAATCACATCAACATGACTGCATCAGTGAGATAAAATGAGAAGCGTAAGTATGAAAAGATCCACTGCATAGGTTCGAACCCTCATCACTGCTCCTACGGATTTTCTCAGTAGCTAGATTGTTGCTATCAGCTTCATGAATAACTAATTACAGTATCTTCCATTTTTCCTTATTATTCCATTCCCACTTCTTACACTTAACACTTTGTGCCGGTAACAACTCAGCATTGAGTTGTCCATTTAGTAAACGAATGTCCGGTCACAACGCAGCATTGCGTCGTCGGTGGTGGCAAATTGACGGCGGCTTCAGGAGGAGTGCGCCGTGGTTTTGGACATTATATGCATATACTCCAGTAGGGAATTTCATTGCGAATACATTGATACCAAAATGAAAGACCTAGGACCAGAATTGAGGTAACAAAGTTGAAAAGAGTATACCCATTTTATTGCTCTTTATTAGCGCTCACTGGTTAACGCTCCATAACTTTCTCTGTTTGCTGTGGGTGGTATGCTGACTTTTGCATATACTTTATATTTGTATATACTCCTGTAGGGAATTCTATTGCAAACACAATGATACCAAAATGAAACACCTAGGACAAGACTTGAGATGTCCAAAGTGAAGACAGTGTACACATTTTATTGCTCTTGCGCGCTCCCGGGTAACACGCTCTCACTTTCTTGCTGGGCTTTTGGGGTTTATATGCATTTAGGCCTGTAGAGAATTCTATTGCGAACACATTGATACCAAATTTTAAAACCTAGGACGAGAATTGAGATGACAAAGTCGAAAAGAGTATACACTTTTCAGAATTACCGTGCGCTCCTGTGGAGCGCGCGATAATGCCCGGACTCACCTTAGATAGTGAGAGACTCGCTCACGCAGAGCATGAAAGTGTTAACTCTTTTGCTATGGCAATTCCATTTCTGATCCATAATTTGCTTGGGTCTCTATCAGGGTAATTAATATACCTCAAGAGTATAGGTATATTTGATGAGCCACTTGACCCAATGATAAGTTGAGTGGCATTCTGTCTAATGATACATCCCTTGAATTATGTAACCAATAATTAAAAATATTTTTCTGCGGGGAGCCTCGTTGGCTTCCCGGAGCTATCCAGGCTGATATGCATATACTGTATTAGCTTTCTGCCATCAGTCAATGTGCATGGAGTTCTTGCCTACCGGGAACCATGAGCCTCCTCAGAGAGGCATGAGGAGCAATGGCCTATAGAAACCCCCCGTGTGTTTGGGAGCATTCTATGTCTGCCTTCGACCGGGTCTGGCACCCAGAAAGGTAGGCACCCCAAAACAAACCCCTATTCTGGTGAAAATATTGCTATCGAAAGCTGAATGAGTGGACATAAGTCCCAAAATGAAAACTACCAACTAGCATGATGTCATCACGTTGCTGCGTTGCTGTCTATGCAACCCTCTCTTCCCCCTCCCATGAGGGGTAGGGGAAGCCCCAAACCCTCATGCCGGCAATTTTTCAGTTCTTGGCTGATGTGGTCCCGGCAGGTTGTGTGCCTCTGACTCCGGAGTTTCTTTCGGTTTTCTGTGCCTTGTGGCGGACTGTTTCTACTGGTGGAGTGCGAGCCAGGAGTAATATTCTTCAGTACTTGGGCTGCATGCACCTAGGGTTTACTTCCCTCGATGCCCTGTAAGTACTGCCCTTGGGGCCACCTTCCACAAGTCACCTTGGGATCTACTTCCACTGTGTCTTTTACTGCTTGGTACTTTCCTGCCCTTGGAATCAGCTGGGGGTTTTGTTTGCCCTTGTTTGCCTCTGGGTAGGAAGTAGTTTTCTTCACTGGAAGGGGCACAGGGTAAAACGCAGCTAGTCTTTACCTCTCATAGTGGCTGGCTCTGTTATGCCTGGGCATGTTGTCCTCTTGCGGGGTTTTCTTTTTCTTTTTGTTGTCTGGTGCAGGGTCTGCCTTTTGGTTGGTCATTCCCTGTTGTTATTGGTGGTCCTCTGCTAGGCCCCCTCAAGTGTACACGACTCGTGGGTGCAGCAGTTAGCAGACTGCTTGGTAGTTTTGGGGCGCCGGTTAGCTGTACCCTGCCTGGGCTTCCCTTAGCGTGTTACCAAGGCTAAGGGCCCTGGGAAACCCCGCGGGGGCTCCGTGGGGTTTCCGATGTCCGGTCCAATGGATGCGACCCTCGAGTCCCCTCTCGCTTCGTGCGAGGTTGATGGTTGCTCTGTCCCCCTTGTCTCAGGGGAACAATCAGCGGTTGTGCCTCAGCACTGCTGCCTGTAGGGTTGGTGATTCTTTTGACCCGGAGTCTTGCGACGTTTGTGGGTTGTCTGTGTTGTTGAAGCTGTTCGTGCCACTCCTACAGGATGCAGTTTTGTGGTTTTTTGCTTCTTGACTCACGTGTCAGCAAACGATGCTCGCTTCTTCCTTGGAAACCTCTTGGGACCTGGCTCTTAGACTGTCATCGCCTTTTTGTCCGTTGCTGTTTTGGAGTTTGTGGTTGTGCAGTATCTGCAGGCAGTTTCGGCTAATTGCCAACCTATGTCAGATTTGTTAGTCCTCCGGGGGGCTCGGGGGGGGGGGCCTTCCCGGCGAGGTCGTATTAGGGTTCAGGGTTCTTCCTGTTGTGGTAGACCAGTGGTGCCAGATTTGGCGCTGGAGCAGCCTTTGGTGCTGTCTGTTTCTGTTCGGTGCAAAGATCGCCCTGTGCGCCGTTTAGGTGCTTGTAAGGTGCATCAGCCTTTCCCCATTGATGGGGTGGAGGCTCGCTCTGTTTGCTCGTACCTGGTCCCACCCTTTGTGGGTCTTTTAGGTAATTTTGTGTGGCCTGTGGTGGCGTTGGGTAGCTTCTCCTTCGGGAGGTTTGGTGCTGGCAGGGCAGGCCTCTTTTTCCTGCGCTCTGTTGGGGTCATCTCAGAATAGGTTTGCTTGGGCATGGTCGAAACGACCTCGTCCCTCAGGTGGGTTCCCACCCCCCTGTTTCCGGGCCCGAAATGGGACTATGCGGACCTCCAGTTCATTCTGGACTTGTCCCGTCTGAATCCGTGGGTTATTGCCTTTCCTTTTGGATGACTACTGTCCCAAGTCCCTCTTCTGTTATGGCCGGACGCTTGGATGGTGTTCCTGAACCTTAAGGATGCCTATTGGCACGTCCCGATTCATCCGAGTTACAGGGAGTGGCTTGGTTATGTTATGAGGCGTCAGGGTTACAGCTTTTGTTGTCATCCATTCGGATTGAATCTGGTGCCTCGCGTTTTCACACGCCTTACCCGGGTCGTGGTGGTCCGCCTGCGTCTGTTAGGTGTTTGGGTTCTGGCCTACCTTGACGACTAGCTGGTTTGGGCTCCCAGCCAGTCCGAGTGTCTGCTCGCTAGGGATTTGGTTCTTTCCCAGCTCGCTGGGTTTGGGTTCTTGGTGAACTGGCAGAAATACCATCTGGTTCTCTCTCAGGTTCGGTCTTGGTTGGGTCTTGTGTGGGACGCTCAGACCTCTTCCTTGTCTCTTCCTCCGGTGACTCTGCTTCATCTGTGTTCCCGCCTTCTTCTGTTCCTGAGTGGCTCCCAGGTCACACAGCGGTTCCTCGAGGGTTTGCATGGGAGCCTGAACGTTGCCATGATGGTCTACCTGCAGGTCGGGTGTGGCTTCATCGGCTGTTCTGTTTCCTTCAGGGACATCCCTTCCACCTCTCATGTGACTGCTGGGTTCGGCATCCGGGGACTTTGCATTGGTTGCTGCATCGCCGGCTTTCTCTTCGGGTTTTTTGGAGTTCAGTGCCTTTGTGCCTACCTGAGCCCTCGCTCGTTTAAATTAAGTTAAATTTCCTCGCGAGGAAATTTAACTTAATATGATACTCATTTTTCCAGTGTAAATTTAAAAAAAATTGATATAAGACTTTGGATTTTTGAGTAGTTCAAAGAATTGTATTCAGATACCTGTATCTTAACTGGGATTATTTAAATTGATTTAAGATTTGACACAAGAAGGCATTTAAAATCTATAATGTGGATAGATGTAGTGATACTTTTTCCCCAGTATATATATTATTTCATAATATTAATTCCTATTTTCATATTTGCCAGATGGTTGGTGTGTGACAAATCTGACGATTGTGGAGATGGAAGTGACGAACTTAACTGTGTCACAACAACTACTCAAAGGCCAGAAGAACCCGAGGAACCTACCTGTGGAGAGGGTGAATTTTTGTGTGAGAGTGGAGCATGTGTACCGGAGAGTAAGGTGAGCAACTACATTTCTATAGGATTTAATTATATATGACAAATCGGGTGTGAGATCCTCAGTACTGAGTGAGCAACGAAGGCTGGCACATGCAGCATGACCTCACAGCACTGCTGTTCAGCTTGTGACCACAGCATTGTCTACACCCAAGTGATCATTTTTGTATTTGTAAACAAATAATTAATGAGTAATATGATAGTATGGTGAATAGTGTAGTAAAGTATGTGATCGTATATTTATTCCAACTCATCCTCCTAAAATGGTAGTGTTGGCAACTATTCGGTTGATTTTACCAGTATGTACTGTTTTCAGACCCCAAAGGACCCCAAAAAAGGACCCCCAAAAAGTATACATTTTGTAATATTGTCTTTATAGTCTGAAAAAAAAGCTAAAAACTAAACTTCAACATTCCTAGACCTATTATAGCACATGTATATCTTAAGATAGCATGTGTTAGGCCCAGGATTGCTTGCACAGGTTAGCTTGTGTTCTTTAGTTACATTTCCAATTTAATAGAATGCCATTTTGGCCATTTCAGTAATAGAGAACATGAACTTTCTTGGGATCCAACAGTAGATAGTGATACATTAGACCAAATAGTTGCAGTAAGCACCACAATTTTAGGATAATGGGCTAACTTATTCCTGCAATTTTATATTTTTGTTTTGCATTTTCGGAACTTGAGCAATGTAACTCATTTAAAAACAGATTAAAAAAACCAGCGTTGAATGTAATGAAATGCCATTTTCTGGGTAAGACCTAGACACTCCCCGGCGATATGGGGGAGACTCCCCCATATCAGCTATCCAGGCTGATATGGATATATTAGATTTCTGGCATCAGTCAATGTGCATGGAGTTCTAGGCTTACCAGGGACCACGAGGCAGAACCTGCCCCCCTCAGAGAGGGACGAGGAGCAGTGGCGTATAGAAACCCCTGTGTGGTTGGAAGCATTTTATGTCTGCCATCGACCGATTCAGGCACCCAGAAAGGTAGGCACTCCAAAACAAACCCCTATTCTGGTGAAAATATTGCTACCGACAGCCGAACTAATGGACAGAACTCCTAAAATAAAAACAAGCAAACTAGCATCATGTCACCATATTGCCGTGTCGCTGTCAGCGCAACCCCCCCAGGGGGAGCCCCAAACCTTCATGTCAGCTACCCACACTTCAGTTCTTAAGACTGGATGTCAAAATACACACACAAAAAAAAATACCAACTAGAGGGAGGGAGGGTTGCCGGGAAGCCTCCGGGTCACACCCAGGAAGTGGTGTTTCATTACATTCAATGCTAGTTTTCTGGGGGAAGCCCAGTTGGCTTCCCCGGAGCTACCTAACCAAAGATAAGGAAAAAGAGGGACATACCTGGGAGGTGAACGCCACATGCTCTAAACTAGAAGCAAGGCAACTGGCAATATTATATGACCCTACAGACGACCCGAGAGACCTGAACCCTGGAACAGGGAAGAAGGGAACCCGGACAAAACAAAGCACGTCCAGGGGCCACAGAGGCCATGGCGCACAGGCAACAGCGGAGAGCCACAACCAGACACAATAACGATGCACACCCGACTTAACCAACCAAGCATCAACAACCAAAAGATCCCTCTGGAAAGCAACAGACTCATTTTTCACCAGAAAAGAAGACTGCTGCAACGAACAAACACCACCAGGACCAAAAGAGCAGAAAGCGCTGTGCCGGAGGAGAGCATGAAGCTCCCCGACATGACCCCCAGAGGCCAATGCCAACAGGAAAAGAGTCTTAGAAAATCAAACCTGAACCGAAGGGGCCACTACAAACCGAGGAGAAGAGAGAAAAGAGAGCACCCGGTCTAAGGACCAGGGCGGCTCAGGCAGCACATGAGCAGGCCGGAGGTGAATCAACGCATGAGACAGCTTGCAGAACGGAGCAGACGTAACATCAATATCGAATGCAAGCTGCAGTGGCTCCGACAGCGCCGCGTGATACGAGGCGAGAGTATTTGGCATAAGATGGCGGTCTTGGAACAACCACGAAAAGAAGGACAAAACAACCCTATCAGAGACCGAAGTACACCTACACAGAGTTAGGAAATAATGGACGGACCACCAGAAAACTTCATATTGCTACTGAGACAAAACATACAGGTAGGAAACCATTAACAAAGCCACCTGCGCCTCATACAAATGATTATAGACTCGAGTCAGAAAGACCAGACGAGAAGACTCTAGGAGAAGAGCGGACCAGTCACATACCGGGCCGAACTGATCTGTTGAAAGAGGCGGAGGCGCGGGAAGACCTTCAGGTTTGGACATTGACCAAGCAGCACCTGAAACAAGGCTGGGCCGGCCACCAAGGAGCCGGAAGGACAACTCTCCCCTGGTAAGTCTTCAAGCGAGCCAGGATCTAGAGCAATGGCTGAACCAGGGGGAAGAGGTACAGGTAACCCTACCTCGCACAGTCCTGCCTGAAGGCATCTATCCCGACAGCCTCATAGTTGGGGAAAGGCGCCATGTACACCAGAAGACAACTCGACCACACCAACATGAAGAGGTCCACTTCCAGAGAACCGAACGTTTGGCAGAGCCAACTGAACGAGTCTGTGTCGACCGTCCATTCTGTAGACAGGGGAATGAAACGGGAGAAGACGTCCACCAGGACGTTGGACATCCCCCCTAATGTGAATCGCCAGGAAAGCCAAACTCCGAGAACTCAGCAGATGAATCACCCGAAGCGACTAGCCCCAAAGAGCCAAGGACCACATTGAATCTCCTCGGTTTAGGCAATGAACCACTGGGGAAAGTCCGAATGGAGCCGAAGCATCGATCCACGAGCGACCCGAGCCCTCCGTAGCGACATCCACACACCCGCAAACTTCCACACCGTGCTATGAGCCTGATAGAAGGACGGACCCCACTGCCCCTGGCCGGCCTGGTGAGCACTGGTCACAAAGCCCCAGCCAAGAGACAGCGCGTCTGTGACCACATCGAGCGTGGGCTCTGGTAGGCGCCTAGGCACTGTACCCCGAAAAATCCAAAGAGGAATCCAGCGATGCAAAGCCCTGAGAGGCAGAACCCAGCAGTCACGAGAGTGGCGAAAGGGACATCCCCAAAGGAACCAGAAGAGTTGACGAAGCCAAACCCGACCCGGCGGGTGAACTATCATGGCAAAGTTCAGGCTCCCACACAAACCCTCATGCAACCTCTGCATGACTTGGGAGCCCCTCAGAAACAGGCGAAGGAGGGAACTCAGCCGGCGCAGAGCCTCCAGAAGAAGAGACAAGGAAGTGGTCCGAGCACCCCACTGAAAACCCAGCCATGACCGAAAGAACCAAATCCCTCTTAAGCAGACATGCGGGCCGGCTATGAGCCCACACCAGCCAGTCGTCGCGATCCTAAACCCAAACACCTAAAAGTCACAGATGGGCCACCACGACCTGAGTAAGGAAGGTGAAAACACGAGGCACCAGATGCAAGCCGAATGGAAGGCAACGAAAGCGGTAACCCTGATGCCCCACAAAAAAACTGAGCCAGTCCCTGAACCTTGGATGAATAGGGACGTGCCAATACGTGTTTTTGAGGTCCAGGGACACCATCCAAGCACCCGGCTCCAACAGAAAACAGATCTGGTACAAAGTAATCATCCAAAAGGAGGGGCAATAAACCCACGGCTTCAGACGGGACAAGTCCAGAATGAACCGGAGGTCCATGCAGTCCTGTTTCGGAACAGGAAACAGGTGGGAACCCACCTGAGGGACGAGGTTGTCTGAACCATGCCCAAGCAAACCCACTCTGAGATGACCGGACAGAGCACAGGAGAAGAGGCCTGCCCCGCCTACCCCGATCCTCCCGAAGGAGGGGCCACCCAATGCCACCGCAAGCAGCATGAAATGACCCAAAAGGCCCACAAATGGTGGGACCAGGCGTGAGTAAACAGGGCGAGCCTCCCACCCCCCCCCCCATCGCCTTGTCAATGGGACGAAGCGTGCAAGGGACGACGCCTCTTACGAGAACCAAGGCAGTGCACAGATCAATCACTGCACTGACTAGAAACAGACGGTTCCGAAGACTGCGCTGGCACTGAATCTGGCACCTCTGGCCTACCACAACGGGAGGAACCAAGAGCCCTGGCACGACCCCTCCGGGAAGGCCCCGCACAAGCCCCCTGGAGAACCAACAAGTACGACATAGGACGACAACTAAATGAAGCTGCCTGCAGATACTGCAGAACCGCAGACTCTGCAAACAGCTACGGACAACAGGGGCAAAGACAATCTAAGAGCCAGGGCCCCAAGTGGATTCCAAAGAAGAGGCGAGTACCGTCTGTCGGCACACGAGATGGAAAGCAAAAAACAGCGAAACCGCATCCCTCAACATCGGCGCGAACAGCTGCAACAATGCAGACAACTCACGCACCGCCGAGGGCAACGCACCACACCATGAGGTAGCCCCAAGCGCCTCCACATCCTTCTCGAGGAAATCCGAGGACAGCTCGACCAGGGGGAAAAAAAACGCAAGGCCGAAGCTAACAGGCCACGCGCGCACAAATCCTCTGCGACCAATGCAGCCTAAAGGGAAGGAACCTGCACCACACCAACATCCCGAGGAAGGGCAGGGGAAAACAAGCACGCATTGAAATGCTCAATTCGCCCCCCCCAGGAAAACCTGCAACACCATACGAGCTTCCTGCCACTCAAGCATGCGGAACCGACAGAATGCATGCCAAACCTTCAATGAGAAGTGTGGGCTGTCTGCCATCCAGGAAGACTCTGGAACCTCATAACGAACCCAGTAAGGACACAGTGATCCATACACGTAAGAATTCGGATCCATTACAAAGGCATAATCTGGGTCGCGCAGGAGGCAAGTCGCAATGGCCTCCTGCACCACATGGGGTGGAATGCGGGAGGTTGAAAGCCTCCGGAAAGACGGAACTGACGAACCCATGGGATCACAGAATCGAACCCTGGGAAGAGTAGATGCCAAATCCAATTTGTACAAGGAGGGAGAATAAGGGAACCCCACTCTTTGTAACACGAAGCCCCACTCCGAGGGTACAAAAACCCAAGCGGGGTCCAACGGGGCCTAAGGCCCCCCAAGTCAACCCCTCCCCGCACCCCGGGAACTTCACCCTGAGGGCCCGTGGCCAAGCGGTCCTCCATATTTCCCGCCTCTAAAGAAAAGGCAGGAGCTGCTGAAAAAGCAGTAACAATAGAGTCTGACTTACCAACAAGTGACAGACCCCCCACCATGCAGCTAAACAAAAAGAAAGAAAAACCCTGCAAGAGGACAAAGTACTTAGACGGAACAGAGCTGACTGCTTTGTGAGGTGATAACTAGCAGCACAGTACCCTGCACCCCCAACCAGTGACAAAAACTACCCCCCTACCCAGAGACAAACAGGGGAACACAGAAATCCCAGCTGACTCCAAGAGGAGTCAGCTCTTCAATGGTACCCCCATTGAAGATCAAAGGTGCAATGGGTACCCTGAGAGAGAACTCTATCAACATCAGAGACCCGAGACTGTTCAACACACTTCTACTATACATAAGAGTCATAACTGGCCGACTTCTCACAGTGTTCAAGAGAGAACTCGATAAGCACCTCCAAAGGATACCTGATCAAATATGCTGTGATTCATACGTCAGGTTGTGAGCAGCCATGTTCAACAGCCTTGTTGACCAGTCCAGCAACGAGGAGGCCTGGGCGATGACCGGGCCGCGGGGACGCTAAGCTCCGAAACCAACTCATGGTATACTGAAGGTAAAGTAAGGGTGGTCAAACACCGAGCAGCAAAAGACACAGCAGAGGTAGATCTCAAGGCGACTTGTGGAAGGTGGTCCCAAGCCCCAAGGACAGTACTTACAGGGCACCCAGGAAAGGAAACCCTAGGCACATGCAGCCCAAGTACTGAAGAAATTACTCCTGGCTCGCACACCAACCGTAGAGACAGCACCACTCCACAAAGCACAGAATTGAAACAATTGTCTGGAGCCAGAGGCACACGACCTTGGCCATCAGCCAAGAACTGAAGGGTGGGTAGGGAGGTTGCGCAGACAGCAGTGCTGCAATGTGGTGACATCATGCTAGTTTGCTTGTTTTTATTTGGGGAGTTCTGTCCACTAGTTCGGCTTTCGGTAGCAATATTTTCACCAGAATAGGGGTTTGTTTTGGGGTGCCTTCCTTTCTGGGTGCCTGACCCAGTTGATGGCAGACACAGAATGCTTCCAACCACATGGGGATTTCTATAGGCCATTGCTTCTTGTGCCTCTCTGAGGGGGGCCAGGTTCTGGCTCGTGGTCCCCAGTAGGCCTAGAACTCCATGCACATTGACTGATGCCAGAAATCTAATAAATCCTTATCAGCCTGGATAGCTCTGGGAAGCCGAAGGGGCTCCCCCCAGAAAGTTGGGTAAAACTAACCTGTCTCACGACAGTCTAAACCCTGGTCGTGTTCCCTATTGGTGTGTGAAGAATCCAATGCTTAGTAAATACTGCATCACAGTGATAGGAAGAGTTGACATTGACGGATCAAAATAAATTTATACCAATTTATACAGAAATCAGTATAAAATACACACAATATTAAGGTTTTCTAGTGTTAACATCATAGCTAAAAAAATACTACCTTAATTTACAAAAAATTCAGCACTGAATGTAAAGCAATGCCCAGCAACCCCACCGCTGCCCTACCAACCTTGGTACTATATATATGCAAACATATACTGTACGCACATTCCGGATCCTTGATAAAATATTTGTCCTTGGTCAAATTCATTAATGTATTTCTTGATGACTGTTTACTAAGAAGAAAATTAACACAAAAATCAGGTAATTTTGACCTTAAATTGTGATCATTAATTTCAGGTATGTGATGGGAGAAAGACTTGTCTGAATGGGGAAGATGAAATGGATTGTGAATCTCGGCCATGCCCAGCTGATAGAACACATCGATGTGGAGATGGCACTTGTGTTGCTTCAGCGCCACCTTGTGATGATGTTAACGACTGTGCAGATGCATCTGATGAAATCAACTGCACTCATACAAAAGTAGCTTATGATGACACTTCATCAGATGATGATAATGACAATTATATTTATGAATATGATGAAACAACATCAGCAACAACCACTACTACTAGTACTACTACTTCTACTACTACTTCTACTACTACTTCTACTACTACTTCTACTACCACTACTACTACAACAGAGTCACCCATCATTTATGAGCCTGTGGAACCAGAAGAAGAAGAAGAAAAAACTCATTTAGATGTAGATGTGAAAACTAAGAAGCATGATTCAATAGATTATGAAGAAACTTTCCCAGAAAATGAAGAATATTCAGATGAAGTGGATGAGCAAGCACCACCACCACCAGACACATCTGTGCATTATGATGATCACGATGAGGACATTGAGGATATGGATAATGTTAAAACCGTGCTTGAAGACGTGGAACCAGAAAATGTGCGACCTGCGGCTTCCAGTGAACAAGGAGTGTCTTCTAGTCCATGTGTTGCACCTATTTGTATGCTTATTGTAGCTCCTATGTTTGTTATAAGTTTTCGACATGTGTGGACAAGGTGAAAGGTAACAGGCTGAGTGAATGTCTCTCTCGCTCTAACCACCAATGAACTTCATCTCAGAGGGTAAATGTGATTCATTTGCCGTTGAAGTATTAGATGCCTTGGGCATATTCCCAAGTCTTCCCAGATGTTCATTATTTTTTTTAATGTAAATACCACCAATTAACATAATTATTTCTCACAATTGTCATATGGTTGCTAACACAAATTGATCATCATTGATCAGAAATATGCAGTTTATTCATATACAGTATTTGCAAGTTGAACGAGCAGGTTTGTATTGCAATTTCATGTTGAAGGGAGGTAAGCAGTCCTAATTTTTATTAGTGTGTTTGCAGGTGTGCATCGATTCATGTGGGTGTATTTTTTTTTATGTATAATACAGTACTGCGTGTGAATAATAATAATAATAATATATATATATATATATATATATATATATATATAAAAAAATATATATATAATATATAATGTATGTCAACTGAAGCTGTACAATGGTATCCAAAGAATAGAAGAACTCTGGGAATTTGATCTGATACCAAAGTTGTTAATCTTGTGAGAAATCTAGTTTGTGTGAAGCTTTTGAGAATTTAATATAATTAGGTGATAAGACGGTGATATTTGGCTGAACTTCTCTCATAACAGGACTACCTGGGGTAATTACATTTTGATTTAAGCCTATCAGGTGTGAGCTTTGGCCTCATACACGTGGGGGCCGCGGTTCGAGTCTAATAGAGCCAAGGTGAATGGAATTTAAGCCAATCCTTTGTCAAAAAAATATTACTGTTTTGTGTTAATTATTTCTATTTGGATCAAAGGCCTTCAGATTCATTACTATAGCCATGGAGTTTGTATATTTAAGGCCTGTGATGACGTAGGTCACAGTACTAATCTCATTAGGTATTCCTTAGGGTGGAGCCACAGTGATGCCATAGAAGATAGTCTTAATAAACACTCAATCCCAGGATAGGTTAGGTAAATTTGGCATAATGATCTTTAACATTTATGCAGAGCTGGTTACTCTGTCATTGTTAAGTTGATAATCTAAATCACTAGGGTACTATAGTGTACAAATGAGCCAGGATTCATTAATAAATTTACAAGATAAACATTAAACTGGCTTAAAACTAAATAAAAAGTTTAAGTATATACAGATTCTTGTTTAACTGTATACGTTTGCTCTATATGTTAAACTCAGTGACATGTGCAAAATACCATTTGTAACTATAATACTTGAAATTGGTTGTCTGTATTTTTACAGTGGCTGCATCAATATTAAATGCAGTTACCTTAAATGTAGTTGTTGCATTCTAGGTGCATGTAGCTGTAGTTCCAAATGGTTTTAATTGCATGTATCTATAGATATTTGTCTTGGTTGTTTTTACCAAGGTCTGTGATCAATTGATGCTCTTTTCACACAGCATAATTGCTGTTTTTGCTTCTGTTACTTAAAGACTGTTATTGGATGCAGCAGCCATTAACTAAAGCTATTTAGGCATACAAATAGTTTAAGCAAACTAAATATAGATGTAGTTATGTGGCCAGATCTTATCAAAATAAGATGGAAAACAATCATATAGTAGTTGCTAGTATCTGTATAAATCTACAGGTATTTCTCAATACATACCATAATTTCAACTAGTTTATTACTGATTGCTTTATTTAAGTTTTATTAATACTCTGTGAGTAATTTTTTAATGTTTCGAAAGAGCATGTTTATGTTTTTGAAAGAGCCTTACCAAAATATGCTATGAATGAAAATACAATATGGCATGTTAAGTCATTATTAAGAACAGGCAGCCTTGAAGCTTGCTGAGGTCCCCATAGTCAAGGACAGAGATCCCCAGACGATTATCCTGCTGGTACTGGCGTTGGTGTGATTGGCCGGTTGATGCACACATCATATTAAGCTGTAACTGACTGACTTTTCCCCCTCCTTCCACCCATCGGAATCAACACAAGGTAACTATATCAACACACTATATCTTTTAGAAAACTGACAACACTATTTTACTTGTAAGTACAGTACAGTAGTAATTTCAGATAATTTCTCCTTTTTGACTTTAAGATTTATTATCAAGTATAGTACAGTATTGGTTTTTACATAAAAAGTCCATATATTTCATATACAGTACTATAATGAATACTGTATGTAGAAAATATTTGTCATTTCAACATTTTTGACCACAGTGGAATATTTCCGTAATTAATTTTTTTTTTGTTAAATATGTAAAATATTACTTTTTTATTTTTTGGAAAGAGATACATTATTGGGAAGGAGTTCAAAATTACCAATCATGATGAACAATGTTTTGTTATCTAGAATTCCTTACCAATATTTCAGAATAAATATTTTGGTTAAATGTTTGAAATCATGAAGTTTAACCTTACAGATTTCATTTAATTTCTCTCCTGTTGAAAATTTGCTGTATCCATAGGAAATTCCTTTGCATACCTACTTTAAACATTCAAGACTTTCGTATGGTGGTGAAAGGAAACATTCTATTGTTATCTGACCATTTAGCCTTCCCTGGATGACAGATTTATGATAAATTAATAATAATAATTATTTTTATTTATGCAATATACTTCACATATGTTAATTGGTTGAATAGTAAGTAAAGTATTTGTATATTATATAAAGGCACTAGATACACACAGCATTTTGGGCATTTAAAAATCAATACAGTGATTCCTTAGTTTATGAATTTAATTCGTTCCCAGAGACGATTCGACAACAAAAAATTTGAAAACCGAAACATATTTTCTCATAAGAAATAATGTAAATTTAATTAATCCGTTCCACACACCTAAAAATATTACCTTAAAAATACATTTTATACATAATACTACTCATATTTTGTACTACAGTATGTACATGTATATCTTACCTTTATTGAGGATTCTTGTTGGTGTGTGGAAGATGAGAAGGGGGGAGGGGGATAGGAGGAGGAGAGGTGTTAGTGTTTGGAAGGGGAGTTCCCTTCCATTATAACATCAGGCACTGATGACATGTCTGAGGTACTCTCTCTCCTACGTTTTGCAGGCATACCACTAGGACCTGGTTGTGGCTCACTGCTTGCTCGTCTTACTAAGGATCTGTCTATATACACTTGTTTTTCCCTACGTTTTAACACTTGTCTGTAGTGAGACATCACATCGCCATTAAAAAGGTTAATGCAATGACCTGTTACAGCTTTATCTATATGACACTTTTCAGCAAAACTTTGCAGTTCTTCCCATACTGCACACATTTTCCTAATTAATGAGGAAGGGACATCAACAACCCACCTACCAGTTTCATGTTTACAAATGATCTCTTGTTTTTCCTATATCGTCATCCTCACAACTATTTTCTTAGGTTGAACTTTACCACTGACTTTCTTGGGACCCATAGCATGATACTGTATATAATAATTACTTTTATGTCCAGAAGCTATAAAAGCACAAAAACAATTAAGTTAGTCACAAAGAGTTCTAGCACGGTGATCACAAGGTAGGACACACTAGTAAACTGAGGCGTGCCTCGACCGCGCCTCAAGAACCACGTGCTCGGTCGACCCATACGTGTGTCAACAAACTCGAGAAGTGGGGCAAACCTCGAATACCGAGTAGAGCTCAAAAACAGAAAAATTTGAAAAAAGGGGCATTTGAAAACCGAGGTTCCACTGTACTGTACATGCAATTAAGATATGACAATTTTTAGCAAGAATAATTAAAGGTATTAAATTTGTATTTGTAATGTGTTTAGGAATGACATATACTATTTAAATTTTCAGCGTTGTAACTTCAGTAGTTTTAAAGCTATAATTTCTTTATATCTGCTGTTATTATCACAGAATTTTCCTTATAGAAATTCCTCAAAATTGTTTTGGATTTGATTTTGTTGTTTAAACATAGTGTGCTTAACATGTATTCACACACCTTGAGGATGAGCTGTCTTGAATAAGTAAGTTTTGGGTAAATAAATGGACTACTTCTTCCCCAAATACAAATAAATGAGAGAAAATTAGTATTCACAAAAATCAGAATTGCTTTCAAAATTATTTTCAGTTTATAGTGTTTATTGAATGTCACAGTATTGTACTCTGTTTCTTTTATCCTTTTCTCTATTTACTGTCTAATAAAGTAGCTTGGAGAGGTTTATACAGTGGAAATATAAATGCAAATAAGCCAGTTTTATTTTGGCTTTGCAGCAGCAAGGTCAGTTGATCGGTGGTGACGAATTTTAGGCCGGGCACCGCACCATCTTCAATCTTTGCATGCTAGGCCACCATCACCAATGCACTCCTCCCTCACTTGTATTCACAATTGGCATCACAAAATATTTCATTTTGGGTATAGTTCAGTATTTTAACTGTACAGTATTTAGAGGTGTTATATCAAAAGGATATTCCGTAATTAGGTTGATAAACTTAATTGGTTGATACAGTATATTCACATATGAATGGCTGTGCCATTCTCAAAACATTGAACAGGGTGGCTGGGGTATTTCTCTGTGGCATACACATGCAGGTAGATCATGCTTGTTTGTGGCCGACTGGACACACTAGGTCTCGGGTCAAACGAACTCAACACATTATGTATTTTAACTTTGTGATTATATTAACAGTCTGTCATGTTTGCACTTTTGTTTGAACACTTGTGCAGTTTTGATCTCTCGCTAAGCGAATAACATGTATTAATGTATTTTTAGTGTTCAAATATGATGTCTGGCACTGCATTAATTTATCAGCTTCATAATAGCTGTTAAATATCATAATAATACTGTACATATATATTTCCCTTGCACCCCAAGCAACCACCACCACCACCACTACTACCAACATCATCCTGCACAACTATCAACACTACACAACTATCAACACCACCACCACTACAGTACCAATACCAAAAACTACCAATACTACAACCAATACTACAACCACTACTATCACCAGCACCACTACAAAAACCACCACCACCACTACTACCACAACCACCATTACTGACACCATCACTATCACAACCACCATTACCAACATACACCATTATCACCACACACCACTATCACCTGTCAATATCATTATCACCTCCATCATCACTACCACTATTACTATCACCACTACTTTGCCACTGCCACCTACCCTACAACCACCACTACCACTAGCACCATTACTTGTACTTGTACCACCTCCACCCTGTAGTTATTTCAGCACCCTGCAGTCATTAGACTATAAATTTTGTTATAACCTGCAGCAGTTATATTATTGTGCACCCCCTTATGCAGTCTGTGAGCGGTAATGCAAAATTATTATAAAGGGAACAATAGGTCCGAAGCGACCCAGGTCGGCATTGTTCGACATTATTACTTTTACAATTTGTTAATACGCCATTTTTGGGAGGGAAACCACTTGGTGGCTTCCTGGGTTAGTTCCAAGGAGCCAACATGGTTCACCAGAAATAGAAGTTTCATTACAATCAATACTGGATTTTTGCTGTATCCCAGGACATGATTGCTTGATGATAAGTCTTCATCTCTTAATCGACCACAATCAAAGCATATCTAGTTGTATGCAAGGTACTGTATATGTGTAAATAAATAAATACAGTATATATATATATATATATATATATATATATATATATATATATATATATATATATATATATATGTATATTTTAAATGTTGTTAATGCCTCCCTTTGCTTATTACAGTAGTTAGAGATTAGATATTCCCGTTGAGGTTAACGTTCCTAGTGTTCTGATCTCCACATTAAGATTTTACTTTGGTTTTCATTAAACTTGATGCCTATGTTACGTCAACATCTTAAATATTCATTCAAGACCTAAACAAATCAAGTTAAACCATCTTGAATCACAGTACCTGTGCATACTGGCTTGATTATCACAAATACTGCACTGTAGTTGTCAATGACTTGCAAAATAGGTGTTTACTTGAAAAGGTAAATATTAACTCTTAAGAAGAGAGTAGCAGAAAATCATAGAATTACTAGGAAAGATGAAAGTATGAAGATTTGTGGAAATTTATATATAGTTACAGTAGTTACAACACTTGTAGATTATAGTACGTTAAATGCTCCAGGCCTCTTCTTAGTTCTTTGAGAATTGCACCCTTTTTGTTTTTTGTTACTAATGATACTTTCATTTATAATACTAGTATACCAGGGTTCTTAACCACACAAATAAATTTTTTGGGGGGAATAAATTTAATGTGCTGCAGGTAATGACAAACATCTCTGCCCCTCTATTACTCAAATATCGGCAGTAATTATATAATAATGATGATGATAATTCATTGTCGGGGAACAGGAAGCCGGTGTGTATTCATACACTTTTGGCTTTTATCGATGCCCCCCACCCCCAGGGCCGAAATACTGACTCCACCCAGTACCCCACAACAAGTTGACTAACTTCTGAGTATCAACTCACTGCTAAGTGAACAGAGGCATTAGGTGAAAGGAAATGTGCCCAACCATTTCTGTCCTGCCCGGGATTTGAGCCAAGAATTCTCGATTGTGCATCAAGAACGAACCCGACTGTACTACCTGGACATTAGTACAAGTACGTGTAATACATATATTAATGGTGAAATAATTAGCCTTTCACATTATTATATTTATATATTTTTACTTGGTGAACATCAGCATGTATTTGTGCATTCATAAACACTAAACACATGCAAACCAGATACCCAAATCTGAAGATGGACTAATGACCTAATTATTCCTTACCTGCAAACACTGAGTTATAACATACTGATACGAACATACATGTGCATCATTTATGTCCTAAGAAATGAACATGTTGTTATCAGATTCTGATATGGATTTGATAAAAGATGTACAAATGTTATTGATTACCATATTATACATGATATTTAATTTATAATTTATTAGCTTTATATTTTACAAAGATATACAAAATTAATTTAAAATGCAATATATAAACATACAGGACACATGCAGTGAAAAAGAATGTACTCTAATTCATGATCGGTCATTAAGAAAAGTACTATCAGTTTTGTGTTGTATGTATTTTTTTTGTATAGAGTATTTTAGTTTCGTGTGTATTAGTCAAGTTTTCAGAGGCAAATCTTTTCAACCCCACAATTAGCGGACTTCGATAATACAAAGAGTAGTAGAGGGGTGATTATGTACATAATGTATAGTGACTCCTTTAACCTTTATAGTTCAACTTATCTAAAACTGTATTACATAATAAATGTATTATAAAGAAATGTAGAGGCTTTTAACACCTTTTAGTGAATGATTGAAACTATGTGGAAACTGCTAATTTTGTGTGTAGATATTTCTACAAATTTGTCTTCAGGATCTCTGGTAATCTGATGTCGCTGAAGAAAACAAAAGTTGTTTTTTATTTAGGGTACTGTTTATACAGACTAACTGAAACTACATTCAGTATAGAAACTGTTTGAGATGTATAGATGCAGGAGCATTGCAGGGATTGCTCAAACAGTTTTTGGGCACACAAATAATTATCAAAAGAAGGTGCCCAGCCAGGACGACTATGAAGCATAGTTTTTGGGAACATATTTGTATAAAATTGTGTATTATAGGCAGTCTTGTTTTGATTTAATTTAATTATAATTAATAATTAAATCAAAACCACAGGAGAGATGTAAATCAATTTCCAAAATCTGCACGCCACAGCCAACATCATCAACACTGCCACTACAA